AAATGATAAAAACTTGGGATATTGTCATAACAAACTACCAGCTCATCCCTTTTTATTTATAAATAAAAATAAAAAAGAATAAACCCGTATTTCATTTTTTTGGTTCAATTTCTACTGCGTATGTCATGTTATTGGCAGACAGTTTCCCCAATGCAAGAAGTTGAAAATCACTAGAAGTCTTGACCTAGTTAAATATGCCAACTTTGCCAATTTAAATAAGTTTTGGTAGGTGGCCTGTGGTATTCAACCATAGACTTAAACTTTAATTAATTTTCAGACAAGTTTTCCTTTGGTCTTGAATTTAAATAGCTCTCCTACTTCTCGCTGACTAAGCTCCTATTCAAGTACAACTCGGTTCAACTCTAATAAAAAGCTCGTTTGAAATTAATTTTAGGAGAAGTAAAGACTCATAATCATTTTTGCACATGCGTGCCACTGTTAGAGGCTGTCAACATATTGTGTTTGTGTTTGAGTATGTGTGAAAGTTGCACGTTAATCTAACTTCTTAACCAAACATTGTGCATCAAGTGAGACACTGATTTAGCTAAGTTCTTTTCGGTGCCTCAAGTAAACGAGGATTTTTAAAATTTAGTGCAACTTCATGTATGAATGCCTAAAAAGTAAGCAAAACAAAAATAGAAACATAAAGCGAGAAAATAACGTTTATAAAAGTAAGATCGAGGCCGATGGGCCGAGATACATAGCTTGAAATGTAAATTGATAGGATATGTCGAGAAAGCGGTAAAACTTGAGCAAGATTCAAGTCATGAAGGGCAAGATAATGCTAGAGAAGTCCACTGAGATTACTGGTGTTAGATTAGACTTAATACAAAATATGTACCTTAGAGAGGAAATCAGGGTGGTTGGAATTGCATATCAATCGAATCATACCATCGTGGGGGGGGGGGGGAGGGAATAGCTATAAAAATTTTAGATGTTTGCAATCGTGGGCAATGTTTGCTTCGAAAGAAGGCTTTGAGATTGTAGTTGAAAAGCTAAGATAGTTTTTGCTGAAGAGCAATTAGGTTTGTTTTGTTTAATCATAGAGATTGAATTTGACGAACGTCCTGAGAATGAAGATCTTTGGTTCTATTTGTAGGCAGTGGAGAATGAGCAACTTCCATCAGATCGTTGAGCTAAAACATGGGTAGATGGGTCATTTGGCACTAACAATGATTGTAATTCCTAGTTGATTGCCTTTAGCTGTATCCTGAGATGGTTCGCACAATTGCGGTAATGACCTCAGTGTGTCACCATCTCATTGGACTTGTGGGTCCCATATGTGTGCCACGTCAACACACTAACAAAATAATTAACGGAAGGTCCAAATTTATGAGCAGCACAAAATTTTAGGGACAAAATTGATCGGCTATGAATTTAAAAAACCAAAATAAAGAGTTACGTCAATTTCAGAGACTATTAATGGTAAAATCCTTTAAGAATCCATCATGCACTTAAATTAAAATACAAATAATAATAATAATAATAAAAATAAAAATAAAAAATGGCCTTGCTCTCTATTAGAGAGGTTGGCCTTCTCCCTTATCCATAATATGGAGATACCAAGAGGAAACCCTAACTCAGTCTCTTGCCATGAGAATACTAAAATATTAGTGTTACACGTCGGCAAAGCCGACTCATTTCCACGTTGACATCCTCAATGTGCTTCTTACTGACGAATGAGGATCCGCAGAACCTTCCAATCACATTCGTTCATTGTATATTGTGCGACTAAAAATTATTGTAAATCTTTTTATTTAAAATTAAATATAAATAGTACTTGACGAAAATTGGCCGCACCATGTATGATAAATGGATATGATTTGAAGATTCCCGAAATCTTCACAAGGAGAGTCCAGAGAGGATCCTCATTCTCTTACTACTTGTAAACATCCTCATCGGTCCACCTCATTCCCTTTATTACCGTATCTTTTGGACGATTGGTCCAAGTAGTTTTTTATTCGTTTTGAATGCAAAACCACTTGAGTAATGCTATTCATACCATGTTTTTATACTACATTTCTATATCACCTTAAGTGACATCTGATGTGGACAGCCATATCATTTGCAAATTTTGCAAAACCCAAGGAAATGAAGGAGAAATATTCCTCGTATACCATAATCATCATTTAATTAACTAGTTTTTCTTAATTATTAGTTTATTAAATAATGAACTAAATTTAAAATCTGATTAATTCAAATGATGTGGCTATCCACATAAAAAATGCAACCTAAGATGGTATGAAAATGTAGTACAAAAACATGATATGAATAGCATTACTCAAACCACTTCTTTCTTTTGAATGGAATACAAAAATTGTTAATGAATATTTGGGATGAGGACTTTTCTCTACAAATTTTATGAGTGTGGATCATACGAGTCAACGGTATCATTTGGAGGCGGAAATGTTATATTCATATTAATAATCACGAAAATTAATCATTTTCGTAACCAAAATTAATCATCATAATAATTTATAATTATTTTTACCGAATAACGAATTCTTCATCAATTAATGGTTATCCACATTCAAATCATCAAATACGTATTGAGTTGGCAACATGCATCAGCTCCTTGGCTCTCAGACTATTACAAAGAGATAATAACTTCGAGTCTTTAATGTATAAAATGAGGGAATCTTGTGGAGTATAAACATTATAAAAGCATTGAATTTGAAACATTGATGCTATCGGTTGATCTTTGAGTTCTTCCATAAACACTATTGAATTCTCATTGGTTGTAAGTCAAAACCTTTGAGCACTCCCATACACACCATTGAATTCTCATTGGTTTTTCCTCATATCCGAAAAATACCCGAACTTTTATCCCAAAATCCGTTCTTTTCATACGGTTATTCATGGCTATCGAATCTGACCAGTTAAATTGTCATCCATGCATACGACTCCCAACTTGGTGTTATATAATGGATTTCTAATTGAAATAAGACTTATTTTTAGCTACGATCTCTGGAATTCGATTTTGATCTTACTTTGCCCGTGTAATTCAAAAGTCACCACTTTACTACCCGAAACTCAGAATTTGTTCAACTTTAACTTGTGGATCTCTCTTCTCCTTGACACTCAAATGTAGCCCCCTAGAACATATATAGGACCCACCATCCAATAAGGCTAATGCCACATGTGCCAATAAATTTTATTACATATCTCCACTACGTGTTAATATTAACCAATCATAAAATATTAAGTTAAAAAAATTAAGAATTGAAATATTTTGGGGTTATTGTGCTTGAGTTGACGAGAAAAAGAAAATTGATTAGAATTGTGCATCCCATTCAAATCCACACAACGGAATTAACATAATTAAAGTAATGAGAAACAAATTTTAAATTTTATATAATAAAATGATGACTTTTGAATTTTAAAAAATAATACGACGACTTTAAGTTACAGAAGGCGGAAAAAAATTAAGATTCAGTTTCACAAGGCGTGGCTAAATAAGCCTCGAAAAAATAGCTACGGATTAAGCCTTGAAAGAATTGCTACGGACCTTTTAATGTTTTTGTCGATAAACACTCGGCTTGCCTTGAAAAAATTAATAACCACATTTGAGGTATAAATCCCAACCCCTAAATCCAAAATGTGTGAAATTAAAGACAAATATTGCAACTTGATTCACACTAGCCTAAAAAAAAGAAAAAAAAATCAATCATTTGACAACTAATTGAATTACATTATTATGCGTGTGCGAATGATTTATTTTTTATTTTTATAACTGACACTATCCCTTTTAAGATGTTTTGAATGTGTTTAAAAATAGAAAAATAATATTTAATAAACAAATGTTTGTATTACATTATTACTAACCCATTGTAAGGTACTAATTAAAAAAAACTGTTTATATAACAAAAATATCCTTGTTTTATTTGATGTATTATTTTGGGCTGCTTTTGAATATTTTTTTCTATAAGGAATTTTTGTTCCATTGTTTTTTATGAAGCTCGTGTCCCCAAATGGGGCTGCTCGCTTTATATAGTAGTATAGATAGTCAAACAATAAGACCATCAATTATCTAACACTGATGAAGTAAACATTTGCTTAACCATGCATCAAGATGATTTTTATTTATTTTTAAACAAATGATATTATCTACTCTAAAGAGAATGGGTGAACTTAGCTTCACAATTGATTAGCAATAATGTGATTCAATTGGCTAGAATCGAACATAAAACCTCTCAATTATAAGTGAAGAAGAATATTATTTCACCGTAATATTAAATGACAAGATGATCTACATTTATGAATAAGGGCATGTCATTGATAACAGAGTTGTTCGCATACCCGGAAAAAAATGTAACCAATAAAACAGTGTTCAACAGAATTAAAGAGATAAATCTTTAATCGAAAAATAGTCATTTTATCTTAATTTTCCTTATTTTTACAATGATGTCCATTTCCATAATTTGATCCAAGAATCTCCATTTTCCTTAATATTCTGATATGATTTGATTCAAATTCCAACAAAAGAAAAAAAATATGATTCTAATTAACCCACAATCTTATCCTCCAATATGTTAATCAAATTGAGAAAATACCTCTAATCCACAAAATTTAAGAAAATCATTTCCTATTAAGAGAAATAATTAAAATCCATTATCCAAAAGACAGTGAGAAACCAAATCCAAAAATTCCAATACCAGAAGCGGTTTACTGTGTGAACCAAACACTAGTCCAAGGAAAGGGATCCTCTCCAGATCCGTTTCTCATAATTCATAAAATCAAAGAATCTATGTCGTTAAAAATTGATCCAACGACTACAAATAATGGTTCACTTTAAAAGTTATAATAACTTTAACGGATGAATCAATTTTTAACCGCATGAATTACCTGATTTGATGGATTAGGTGGAACGGATCTCGAGAGGAACCCTTTCCCTAGGCCACAGCTATCCGTCTTTTTCTAAATAAAAAAAATCTCAATAAACGACAAGATCATGGTCTCTCCATCTTATTCTCACACATCAGGCCGCTGTCCTCCCTCCTTTTCTAAGGAACCAAACAAACAGCCAAACACAATCCTCCCACAGCTTGTATTCAACGCGTCCCTCCCCTCTACACATCATCAACAAGTTTCATACTTTTTGCCACCGTTAAATCCTCCATGTCCACTCCCACCATACCCACCTCTCTCTCTCCTCTATTCTCCTAGCTTTCTCTCTCTTTCTTTCTCTAGGATTGCTGTCTACTGTTTGACTATGGGTGCGGGTTTCTCTTCTGTCTTCAAATCGGAAAACCCAGTTACAGTCGGATCATTGCCATCGAAACCCGGTCTCGGCGATTTGCCGGAGAGCTGCGCGGCGATGATTCTGGGGTATTTGGACCCGCCGGAGATTTGCAAATTGGCGAAGCTGAATCGGGCTTTTCGCGGCGCTTCTTGGGCTGATTTCATTTGGGAATCGAAATTGCCGTCGAATTATCAAACTATTGTGGGCAAAGTGTTCGGCGATGGATTGGAAAATCTGGGTAAGAGAGATGTTTATACGAGGCTTTGTCAGCCCAACTCTTTCGATGATGGAACCAAGGTGGGTCATCTTTCGTTTTGTTTTCTGGGTTTTGTTTCTTGTTTTCTGTTTGGGTGCCGAGAAAGCGTGGGAAAATTGGGAAAGTTAGATTCTATGAATTATATTGTATCATTGTGGTGTGGGTTTGATTGGTTTCTCTGTTTTCTCATAAATCGAATTTCGTTTTCGGTTTTTGTTTAGCAGAAATCGTATTGAAAGATGAAAATTTATTGTTCAAAGTCTAGATATTTTCTTGCGCCGGGACTAGAAATTCAACAAGTTTGACTTTCCTTAAGAATTAGTATTTTCCATCTTTTAATTTATTAATTTGTTTCTTTGTTCCCTTGTTTTGATTTAGTGCGGTGTTTGATAAATTTTGTGTTGTGGGTGCAGACGGTTTGGCTGGATAAAAGTACAGGATCAGTTTGCTTGTCGATTTCTTCTAAGGGATTAGCAATTACCGGGATTGATGATCGAAGATATTGGAATCATATTCCAACTGAAGAATCTAGGTAAGAACAATGGCATATTTTCTTTTTTTAGTCATTGGATTTTGGAGAAAAGTGAAGATTTGTATGTTGCGGATTGATGGTACTTTATGGCTTTTCCCAAATATTTTTGCAATTTTAATGCACGATTTTGGGGTTAGAAGGTTGTGGCTGTGATTGTATGTGGCTTGGTAATGACTTTTGAAGTTTTTCAGGTCAAGCATGCCAAAACAAAAAAAAAAACATTGTGGCAATCTCGTTTTTTCGAGGTGATCACTTTTTTCAATATGATTGCAATCGATCTAGTGATCAATGTTTTCTTCAATATGATTGCGATCGATCTAATGATCAATATTAACTGTTTGGTTAAACATAATCTGTTATGTCATCATCTGCATAGAAGTATTTCCTTTCTGTTTTTGAAAGGATAGGAGGGAGGAGTCTATAAATATGTAAGTTTATTTGGTCACCGAAAATAAGGAGAATGGGCTAATATCGTATTTGAGGATGATGTGCCCGGTCCCTTTAGACTACAAAGTATTTGTAGTACATAGTTTCTTCTTGAAGTTGATGTTATTTAAGCTTGTCAGAAGTTATGAAGCATCTGATATTGAAATGGCTCGATTTCAGCCTATTTAAAGCTAGTGAAACTCTTCAAAAAATAAAAAGCTCTCTGTATTAAGAAAAAAGTTGAGATTTTTCCTTGATTTGAGCGTATTTGAATTGCTAACAGGCCATTTTATGAACTTGTTTGTACTGTTGCATTTATGGCTGCGTTCCTGCTAGTTGATTCCATCCTACAAACTGTGTCTAAAATCAATTACAAAACGAAACCCAAAGCATATAGAATACGAGATTGGCGTGTATTTTTATGTTTATTCATAGGATGGTTCTCATTTGGGCTTTGTGACTAATACAATGCATCTTAATGTGATCATGTGAAATAAACCGAAGGGTTGTGGATTGCTTACCTTTGAAGTACAAGTATTTGTGGAATTAATTCGTAATTTTTCTTTGCTGGAACACAGATTTTGCTCAGTTGCATATCTTCAGCAAATATGGTGGTTTGAAGTTGACGGGGAGGTTGAGTTTCCATTTCCTGTTGGGACATACAGCCTATTCTTCAGGTTGCAGCTGGGACGGTCTTCTCAGAAAAGGTTTGGTCGCCGAGTTTGCAATATTGAGCATGTCCACGGTTGGGACATAAAACCCGTGAGGTTCCAACTATGGACTTCAGAAGGTCATTATGCCTCGTCTCAGTGCTTTTTAACGGAACCTGGAAAATGGAATTACTACCATGTTGGGGACTTTGTTGTGGAGAACCCGAATGCATCAACGAAGATTAAACTCTCGATGACCCAGATCGATTGCACCCACACCAAAGGCGGTCTCTGTTTAGACTCTGTACTTATATACCCTAGTGAATTTAGAGAGAGGCTAAAGCATTTTTAGTTTGCGCTGAAGCTTTTTATCGGTAGGAAGCTCTGTATCATAGCGGGTAGATGGTGTCGAAAAGAAATCGAAATTAGGTAGTGAATGTGTGCTTTTGGAGTGTCCTGTGTATTTAAGCAAAGAAGGGTGTAAATTCATTTTCTCTTTGTTTGATTCGTTTAATTAGTGACAGTGGATTAAGATTTTGTAAGTCTGTCTGTCCTCATAGTGAAGGGTTTCTGCTTCGTTATGGGATTTTGAGAAATTAATCATGGTATTTACAGTTTGAGAATTGATTGGATACCGTGGTTCCCTTAATGCGTGTCGGTTGAATTACGTTTTGAAACACAACCTATTATTTTCTTTATTATTTGCTTTTGCTAACGGTTGCAACTTTCAGCTCCACACCAATGCGCAAGAGAGACGGGCGGGGGTTTTTGTTTTGAATTAGAGTTATCGAAAATAGAATTGGGATTATTTAGCGGGCAAGTTGAAGGCAAAGAACTGTAATCCCTCCACCACCAACTACATTGTTTGGGTTCGTCAACTCAATGTGGATGGTTCTCTCTCTCCCGAACGCATAGAAATTGATCCTCTCTCTCCTCTGGAAGTCGCTTATCTTGAGTACCTGTGTTGGTACCTACAGGATCAACTGATGATTAGCTGTCTCATGAGTACGATCTCTGAATCTTTACTTCATATCACTATCGGTTGTGATACGTCCCATGCTTTATGGGATTGTCTCCAATGGGTCTCATACGCTTTTCATCTCTTCACCCATCACTTTCTTCATGGCGGCCCTCAAGTAGGGATTATGGTCAGGACCCTTGGTTTTTTGCTCAAAAGTTTGCGCCCTCTTCTCCCGAGCGTCTTATTCTGCTCGAATCCTTCTTCTGTTCATTACCTCGCTAGCATCCTCACCTCCACTTCCGATGTCCAGGGGATGTTAGGAGGGTTTGCTGGTGTCAGACCACTAGGGTGGTTGGCGGATTTTCGCTCTTGGAGTGTAGGACTCTCTCTCGTTCTTATGCTCATCATGATGCTCGGCACATAACATACTTCGGTTAGCTTGGTAAAAAAATGCAACCAAATTGTATGCATTTCTCATAGTCGGCGCCAATCTATTAATGCTTAAAATTAGGAGGTCAACAAAGACCAATATGATGGGCCTTTGGTGAACTTCGGATGCCGACTATAAGAAATTGACATCAAAGTTTAAATGGTTTAGCCTTAAAAATTGGGCTACGCCCACTGTAGTGCTTTGTGTATGTATTGAATATAGATTACAAGATGCGCTTGGTTATAGTGTAATCTTTTCTTTTCTTTTATGTGTCCAACCGTTTATAAGATGTACTCGTCTCCCTTATATAGGCCTCCAATGAGCCCAAAGGTCCTAGGTTCTCAAGGACTCCACTGCTCTAGCACTAAATGATCTTAACATGTAAGCTTTAACTTGCTGATGACTCCTCTATTTAGTCAACAAGTAGAGAACAAGTAGAGATGAAATGATAGTTGCTTAGAACTAGTTGAAAGGATTTTTGGGTCAACACATATTGAGCGCTCCGTTCGATCTTAAGTAGCTGAGGAAATGCTGACCCAAGCGCTTTGTCTAACAACCTTTATGTCTTTTTATAGGTTTTTGTTTTCACTAGCGGTCAACACGTGGCTTGAAGTTGACATCCAAGTATGTTTGTCTATGGGGCCTTGTGCTATAAAGTTGTCAATTTACCCACTTGCCTCAAGTGGTTGGAAAGTACTTTATGAGAAGGTGATTGACCTCCTTGTCGATAGTCAAACCAGACAGTTGAGCGGTTGTCTATAGTGTTCAAAGTTGGTTCCTTTAGTTCTATAAGGCCAACTTTTTAGCCAAATGCCTTTGTCGTCTTCTTCTTCTCTGGATCTTCTTTTGGGCTTTTGCTGGACATTCCCTAGGCTTATATTATTTTAGGGGCGTATAAGAACTCCGAGTTAACAACCTAATCATCATGAAGCACTTCCAAATAATAGTTAACAAAAACGCTTATAGACATCGGTATTTCATATATAATCATTCTCCAACTAGCCCAAGATCTTAACATTCATGAAAATAAACTACAAACAAACTATAAAACTAAATCACACCCTCATCAAACTAGGATTCTTAATGTTGTTAGTACTTTTTTGAATTCTAAAATTTTCTTCTCAAACACCCAACAACTTGAGTTACCATCATACTCGAACCAAGACTCCAAGAACAAGAAAACCCTAACAAGTACCCATTCGATGTGGGTCCCACCAGAAGATAATCCATTACTTGGTCATGGTTATTCATTTTCCATTAGAGTCGGACAATGACTTATGGTGCTATGACTACCATGGAAACAAAGGGTTATAAAGTGTTACGCCTTTTGCGGTTTTAGCCTGCAAATTACTTCTCCAAAAGCACTTTGGCATTTAAGCTCTTTCTATTTCAATTTAGATAACTTAAGCCGGTCATCAGTTGGATAACAAGCGCGATTATGACAAAGATTACTGTCACAATCGTCACTAATAAGCAGCGGCAATAACGTCTCAGTCATACCGTTTTATACCAAATATATCATTACAACTGACTAGAAGATTAAACGCGACTGCATAACTATCCTTCATAAGCCATACTCTAACAGATGCGTAATGTATACCTTTTTCCTTTCCTCGGACATGGTAAAGAACACTCTCAGCAGGTCATGATTGGTGGCCAGTATATTTATCGCTCTAAAGACTTGCAATCCGGTAAGGCCTTCAATTTTGCTCAACTCACCGTCAAGTTTAGCTTGCAATTCAGCCACTTGTTTATCAGTTGAAAGAACTTTAATCAGAGCATCAATCTTAGATGTCATCGCTTGTACCGAAGCTGCCATACTCCCAAAATTCTTTGTCATCTCCTCCATTACCTTTGCTTTCACCCTGCGACCGGGATCTGAAACACTTGGGGTACTTTGTGCAGGCCTTCGTTGTTGGGTACTAAATGATACATCAAACTGTTCCATCCCTTCAGACTCTGATTCTATATTCGTATCCACATTCAGAATCACATTTTCACCCAAATCATCGTCCCCGCCATGAGTTTGATCAATGTTTGCATCCTCTTGCCTAATGTCCTCTTCATCATCATCATCATTGCCAACATTTGCACCAGTATGACGACCTTTTTCATATATCTCCCGCAAGACATGGTAGAATGGAAATGGCTTGCCATACAATCCACTTGCATCCCTTCTTTTCTACAATTACAGAATATTACAGAAACTATAATCCATAGTCGACAGGAAAATATAAGAAATAATGAATAAGGATATCTGCAGACTTACCTTCACCCATTCATCATATAGACTTCTATTGCAAACCAACATCATTTGTTTATCATCCCAACTAAATCCTCCTTGAGATAACATCTCAGTTAAGGCACAATACTTTTTCTTCAATGTCTTAACTCGTGATTCAATGTGAGGAGACGCTTGTATTCCACAACCCGGCAGTTTGGCTTCCAGTATTGCCTCTATATGGGTTAAGTATCCATTTTTGAAACCATTATCAGCTCGCCACTTGGTGTTGCGATATAATTCTTGCAATGATTCAACTAATGCAGAATCTTCTTTGGTTGTCCAGAAACGTTTGTTTTGACCCCTTCCTCGTTTTCTTATAGCTGAATCAGAATTCATCCTAATAAAATAACATAAAAAAAAAAAACATGTGACAAAACTACAAACACAGCATAACAATAATTGCATAGCGTAAAAATGATAATTGCGTAATTTAAAATAATTAAAAAAAGGAATGACTTAGAACGGGAATGATTGTCACATGCAATGAGTTCTATAGATAATTAAGCACTACACGGCAGAGGGGAGGGAGGGGTATTATATTTCTTGTGGGAAAATAGTTCTTTCCCTTGCTTTGCTGTTTCTCTCTCTCGTGCTCAATCAAATTCCGGTATCAATAGACTTAAATATTAACTGTTTACCCTAAAAGACATGACAACGATGAATAGAGTTAAATTGTAAGTGAACTAATATTTTGTACAATAAAGATATAAGGGATATACATTGCACAGATATACATGATGCATAAAGTCTCACATGTTTCCAAAACGAAAACACTAACAATCCAAGATATATGATCAATTAGTTCTTCAACCGCTAATGGAATGCTGGATATCCTTAGTTCCCTTTGTAGTTCTTGTCATATCTGGACACAACTCAGGAAAAATAAATATAAATACAAAGACAGAAGAAGATTAAGGCATGTGTCCATAGCTAGTACAAGAAATTACCTTTCTTTTAGCAGGAAGCTCATTCCCAAACATAAATTTTGATATCCTCCTAAGTCTGTTACGCAGGATGTGTACTCAGTGAATATGCTTTTGAAAAAAGATCAACAAGTGTACATTAATTCCTAAATTCCCATGAATTTGATATGCTAATTTACTGAAAGGATTTGACAAAAAAAGACTTTTGGATTAGCAAATGAGAAACTTAGTTATCCAAAATTAGCAAATAAATCAAAACAAAACAAAACAAAGACCAAAATTTTTTGATACACACAGAGTACAAGTGGACGGAGAGAGAGAACTCAAAAATGAATCATACACATACAGATCTCAATATGGGTAAAATACCAGCTGAATTTAATAAGAAAGAATTCAGACCACAATACAATAGTTGATAATTAAACCAACAGCATAATGTCTTGGTTGAGATTCTCAGCATGCATTTCATTTACATATAAGTACCTGCCATAACAATTGAGAATATTAAGCCCTTTACGATAAACAAACTACCAAGAATCTTGCCCTATTTACGTATGAAGGTGCATTAATATACTAACTTATCAGGAAAACTTCTCAGCGTAAAGAAAACATCACATACACGTAGATAGATACCTCCAGTCAGCTGTCTGTTCATGGTCTAAACAAATATTGTTTTCTTCATTATAATAAAACCATATTCTTTTGTAAAAACTACCGAAAAACACACCAAAAAGAAAAAAACATGGAAGGAAAAACAAATATTGTAGGCTAACATCTATGCTCATATGTTGATACCTCTATCTGTCTATCATAGTTTCAACCATCATATATTGCCAAAGAAAGAAGTAAACTGGAAAGCTGAAACAAACTAGTTCCTAATCCATCATAACCATAGACGGAGTTAGCAATTGCCCTGATGGGGCAGCTGCCCCCACTCAACTTGTAAGAAAAAGAAACAGAAAAACCTTTGTATTCATGATTATCGTGAAGAATACACTAGTTCCACATAAACCTTCATTCTCTAAACTCAATAAACCAATTGTTCATCCTCATCCTACTCTCACCTAGCTAATTACATAGTTCTATGGCTGTAGTGACCCAAGATACTTATCGTTGTATAAGAATATGATCAATGAGATTAACAATTAGGCTCTGCCCTCGGCTGCTGGATCAATGCTAACAGATGATAGAACTGGCAAGGAAAGAGATTTCTATCCTATACAAATTCTCTTCCTTTAGCTCCCGCTTTACCTCTCTAACAAATATCATCCACCCAAATCTAAATCTTTGTAACAATAGCATTGTGACACATCATTATCGATCAATTATAACATTTTTTTTGGATAATAAGTTCATTTTGTTTTCAGAAGTTGGCCTCAATAAATAAAATTTCTAGCTCCGTCCTTGCTCATATAATTCTTATATCTCGTGGTTAACATGGAAGCAGATTGGATTCTAGCAGCTTCAGAATAAAAACATAAAAACACTAAACTAACCAGTTTGCGGTTATTCATTCCATGGTAAAATATTCACATCATCTAATTCTCTTCTCATAAAAAAATTTGGGAACCCCATCAAACACAAAAAGGGTATAAAAAACAAGGTTGAATCCTAAATTCCTAATTAAATTAACACACAAATATATACATATATATGTATATGTGTGTGTGTGTATACATATATATATATGTTGATCACAGAGCAGAACAAACTTCATTCATTCAATACCAAAGGTTCAATCTTTTTGGAATCTTGCAACCAATCTCCATTGGCCTTCAAAAAAATTTACCCACAGATTCAGCTATATCAACTATACAACGAAATTCCATAACAATATATTTAAAAAAATTAAATTATAAACTACAGTTGTACTGGAAAAAGAAAAGAAAACCCAACAAAAAGAACTCAAAATGTATGTTCGAATTGGTGGGCTATCCGGATTACTTACATTTTGGGAAGAAGAAGAAGAAGAATATTCGGGTCGTTGGCGCTCGATTTTGATTGCTGTCGCCATTCGCGCAGTGGAGGTTTTTCTTCAGTGTTGTGGACTCAGGAATGTTCCGTTCGAATATCGAAACCGCATATGTAGACATCAAACTTGAAGAAGAGCCTTTTGTTGGGCCTATTGGGTTGGTTTCGTTGGGCCAATTTTCCGTGGGAATAGCATTCGTGTCATGTGTTTACTAGAATGGTGAAGTGTCTATTTAGTCCCTGAACTATCATCTTTTTGAAAATTAAGTTCTTGAATTGTTTTTCGGTAAAATAAGTCCCTAAACTCATTAAAAATTGCTAATTTCATCCCTAATATTATATTCAAAGCTATTTTATCCAATTTTTCGTCAACTTAAGTCACTTAACACACTTTAGAGTGTAATCCTGTCATTTTCTCACCTATAAGCCCTTAACATTACGTATCGGTTGCAAATCTAACATCTAATTTACCTCAAAAGTTAACTTACACTATTTCTTATGAAAAACTACCAATTTACCTGCCAAAGTTAACTCCATACACTAATACTTTATGGAAAAACTATCGATCTACCTTCCAATGTGTATCACATGCCAGTAACGTGTCACGCCCCGAACCGGTGTCCAAGGCGTGACAGGATGGTATTAGAGCATAGGTATTAGACACCCTTGGATAAGAACTGTGGGAGAAGATTAGCATAAGCCAAATAAGTTTGAATTTAGAAGAGTATGTGCGATTGGTTTTGGAAGTCAAAGTTTGGTTGGCCTCTAGTGATATGTAGAGTGTACAAATAGGCTTAAATGTGAAGTTAGTTTTTACACATGATCTTTACAATTGAATTCATATGTGGATCTTTTGAGAAAGGAAATTAAGTTTGATCCAAAAACGAAAAGGATGAAAGTTAAGCAATGCATGCATATAACTTTAAGATGAATTTCTTAGGTGAAATGGGTTCATGAGTAACTAAAGGACAAGAGGACTTGAAAGGTGGACTTAAGTAAGAGGATTGTGGTCATCCTTACTATGGAAAAAGTAAGAAATAAACTGAGTACATAGTTGTAATGTTTTTTCCATTTAGAGAGAGATAGGACATCTATCATTTGTTTTTTTTAAGTTTGGTCACTGTAATGAAAAAAAATTGGAGAAGTCAGTGTGTACTCAACTCATTTGACTCTTAAAGGTGAAGGAAACAGGAAGTGTTCAATTAAATTCTAGAAAATGAATTTCTTGAGAAATTTTTTAAGTTGGTTGAGGGATTAGAACATCTTAGAGTTAAGAATTGAATGAGACAAGAATTTGATGCAACATAGAGTTTTGTAATTTCTAGTGTTGTTTTGATCCTGAGTAGTGGACAAATAAGAAGGATTTTATAATAAGCTAGTTATGTGCAATGTTGGAATGAATATATTAGAGATTAGGATGCTACGAACACTTGGATTTTGTTACTCATATATTTTGATGTAAGGTCAAGTATGTAGGAAGGAAATTTAGGCTTGAAAAGGTCTATGAATTACTTGTGGGATATATATGAAGGTAGTAGTCACGATTTGTTGATGGATTATATATGCAGTGAGTAACCACTGAACAAATTGCCAAATTTATTCCTAAGATGATACAAAGAATTAGAGTTGGTTCAGTATGGGATACTGAACCGAAAATGATATCCTGATTCCTCTAAAATTTTCGAGAATCCCAATTTCAAGAATGATCCCAAACCAATTTTTTGGGAATCCCGAAATAGTTTTGGGATTTTGGGACATGGGATTAAATTTTGATTTTGGTCTGTTGGGCTGAAACTTGACATATTGGGCTTTTGGGCTAAAATTTAGCCTTTTATATTGAAATTGTCAGCCCAATTTCGTTAATACCAATCTGTCATACATACAAATATATCATATGTGCAATCTATTTTGAGCCACCAATGCAATCTATTTTGTGCCTTTAACTTCATACATACCAATATGTGCAATCATAGATTTATAGCCCTAATTGAAATATGAAATTATAAATTGTTCTTCAAATATATTCTACTGCACATGCATGCAACAAAAATAAATTAAGTAACAAACCCAAAAGCAAAAAAATTAGTTACAAGCCCAAGTTTCAAAATAAATTAAGTCACAAACCAAAAGCAAAAACAAAAGCTTCAAGTTTATGAAGATTGTTGGCCTCTTCGGCCCATTTGACCCATTGATCTTGTTGATAGTTGTTGCTGCCTTCTTGTTGGTACCCTTCCCCTTGATGTTGATGGTTGAGCCATTCCCCTTAAAATGGGTGCTCGTGGAGGTAGTGATTGATTTTGACGTTGTTGAACTTCAAGGTTGAGGTGGTCGAGGAGGTGGAGGTGACATTTCATTTCCTTGTGTCGTATTCTCCTCACCTCCCAAATTAGTCGTGCCTAAGATAATAAACCACAAATAATTTAGATTGAATTATAGAAATAGATAATAAATACTAAGAAAATAAAAAAGGAAATTAAATTATTTACTTACTTTTGTTTGAGCGTTTAAGTTCCTTGTAGAAATTGAATTCGTCGAGTGTAGGCTCATTGTAGAAACAAAATTCATTTCCTCTAAGCCAATCACTAGTACACACTAAAGCCTCAACCGTTTTAGGTGTTAAGCAAGCTCTAAAAGGATCAACAACTCTCTCACCAAGACTAAAGGCATTCTCACTAGCAATGGTGCTACTAGGAAGGGCCAATACATCCTTAGCAACTTTACAAAGAGTTGGATATGTACCACTATTTCCTTTCCACCAATCCAAAAGATTGAAACCCTCATATGTTAGGCTTTGATGTGGATCATTGAAGTACATATCCACTTCATTGGTTATCTCATTTTGTTATGTCGTCGCTCTCTTTTGTTGGATCTTCCTTGTCATCCTTTTAGCAACATCAATATCTCCTCCCCCCCCCCACCCAATCATCTAGTACAACACTTGATCTTTGCTCCACATTTGAAGTAGCACTACTACTAGTACTACTATTACTACTACTACTAAGGACCACTTCCTCCTTATATGCATTATACAACTAGGTTACATAGCTTTTAACCCTTGCTTTCTCCTCATTTATTGTGTCCTATCCATAGCCGAGCTCTTCTAGATAAATATCTTAGGTCGAGTGCTTGGGTTACAAAGAGAATAGAGTTCACCTTTTCAATGTCACCCCAATATTTGTCAAACTTGAGCTTCATTGAGGTAGCCACACTTTGCAAAGTAGCATTAAAGGTGTTTAAAATTTGTTCTTCTATCTCCACTTGCAAAGAAATCATCGTGCTAAGTATTAAGTGTGACATTGGAGTAAGAGTTGCACTCAATGGCAAGGTGGAATCATAAAACTTTTTGAGAAAGTGAGCAAAACTCACCGACCTCTCCCAATCATCCACCTCCGGAGGACCCATCCGCTTTACCTTTGTTGTCACCCCATCAACCTCTTTTGAGACCTCTTTTTTAAAGTAAGCAATAAAAGGGTCACACTCAAAAGCCATCTTAGAGAACACTTCTTTAAACTTGAACTATTAAGCATTTCATGGGTGGCATTCCACCTTGTGACAACATCAAAAGGGATACTTGACATCCTATTAAGTCTCAACAAGACACAATATTTCGTAAAAGACTCTAACCTTGCTAGGAATGAGTGTATAAACTTCACACAATTTCTTATAGCATCAATCTCACAACTAAGCTCCGCCATTCCATCCTTAACTATCAAATTGAGGATGTGACAAGCGCACCTCATGTGCAAGTGAGCCCCGTCGAGTAAAAGAGTATCATTTTACTTGAGTCTTCTTTTTATGTATGCAATAGCAGTGTCATTTGCACTAGCATTGTCAATGGTAATGCTAAAGACCTTGTCTATGCCCCAATCACTCAAGCAACCCTTTAGACATCTTCCAATGTCATCACCTTTGTGAGAAGTAACTTAGACAAAGTTTAGGATCCTTTTATGCAATGCCCAATTAGTGTCCAAAAATGGGCCGTGATGACCATGTAGCTTATCTTTTGAATCAAGGTCCAAGTATCAGTTGTGATGCTCACTCTCAACCCCTCAATCATACTTTTTATTTTTACCTTCTCTTCGAAAAACAACTCCAAAACCACCGCAGGCACCTTATGCCTATTAGGAAGTTTGTACTTTGGATTCAAGTCACGAATAAAAGCTTGAAGGTCCTCTTGATTGACCACCCTAAAAGGCATCTCCACTATTATAATTCACCTCACAGATCTCCTATCAAGTCTTTTTTTATTGAAAATGTGAGTGAAAATTGCACCTCTCATCCTCGCTTGTGTCAATGTTAGTTGATTTAGATATGCACTCTTAAAGAGACTAGAACCTAGGCATTTCTTCAAATGCTTAAGAATTCCCGATGTCCCATGAATTATAGGGTGTGCCAGTACTAAGAGTTTGCAATGCTTGCATTCAGCCATGTACGATTCCACCCCATATTATTGGTGATAGTTACCCTCTTAGCATCATTTTCACGCCGGACTTGGGCCCTTTCTCCTATTGCCCTTTTTCTGAAGAGGGCCCTCCCATTCTCTCACTACTTCTACTTCCTCTTCCCTTTCTTCCTCTTCTTCCCAATGTTCTTTTACTTGTTCTAATGCAATATCCTCCTCCACATCCGAATCATCATCCCAACAATCTTCATAATAATCATCATGCAGATAATCTTGAGGTGAGGGAGTGCCAAGTTGAAGGGTACCACTAGGTTATATTTGTTTTCATTTTCCTAATACCGAGACCATAGGTGCACTAGATTGGCTACTAGACTCATTCATCCTAACATAACAATGCACATTAATATATCACAACCACAGTTCAACATATATCCAAATTCCAATACAATAAATCACATATCCAATTCAAATGCAATAACATTTTCAATATGTGCAAAGTAAGCACAACATTAAATTTTAAATCTATGTGTTTGTACCATACTTAGGGCCTCCGTATTTAGACCTCGTATAAATATTCGGGAGACTCAAATGTAATTATGTAATAAAGGAAGGGGCAAATATGTAATAAGTGAGGATCCCTTATTCTATAAAAGGGACTCCTCAACCTCACAATGGGGAGGCGAATTCTGAG